GAAAGAGGGTTTGAGTTTTGTCAACAAGAACCATTAGCATTCGGACATACCAAGATCTGTTTTACTTGCCAGCATTGCTAAGCCAGTCAGGCAGCAATGTTCAGGGGGAATAAAGCCCGCACAGGCCTGAAAAGGTTGTGCAAAGTATGCTGGTTATATTGGCAGACCATGCACTGCACCATGCAGACCTCCTTTATCATAAATACTTAACCAATTTTCAATAGATGTAAGTGGTTTAAGTATTACTTCCTGTTGAATTAGCAGTTGCTGAGCGTTTGAGTCTTTGTGCAATCCTGCAATCCACTAATGTGATATTTAATGAGGAGACATCAGTCTGAAGAAAGGTAGTCAATATAAATCAGTGTTTACAAAGTGTGATTAACTCTGAAATATTTCATCAATGCTGTGGTCCCAGGCAGGCTCTATGCTAATTATTAGAACCTGTGCATGTTTCAGGGGACTTTGACGGACCCTGAGTGCAGCAAACATGGAGCAGCAAAATTGCAATTATGCTCGGACTGTCTCTGATGACAATTTATGCATTTGGTGTGATGACCTCTTGCTTCCCAAGAGGGCAATAAACAGAATGCATTTTCATTAAGATACTAATGCACTTAATCACAGGAGGAAAGGGTTAGAAAATAAAGAAATACCTTCAAAGCAAGATGTGACAGGCTGATGGGGAAGATACTTTATTTAAAAGTCAGTTTCCTGGTCAAACTTCCGACTACTGCAAAGTCTGTCATACTGAATGTAGTCATGGGCAATAGGATGCATGGCTGGGCAGATGAATAAGCTGAGCTAAGCTGTTTTACGAAAAGTGCAGTGGCACTAGGGCAAAAGAGAACATATGTTCTCCCATTTGGACTTGGATACCCAAAGAGGTCATTTTAAAAAAAAAATGTAAAGAAAATTACTCATATGTATTTTACCCGTTCATTTTCATGCTTTTTATTTTGCTTATTTTTGAGGATGAATGATATCTACTAAGCAGTAACAAAGAGCGGAGACACTACTGTGCCCAGGAGGGCTCGCATTTAAAGTTCTGGCTTGTTCTAAGCCTTAAGGAGAGCTGGGAGAGGCCGAGGAAAGCATCTCCCCCAGTTTTTGTTATTCTGACAACGTGGTAGGAATAATCCTATTTCTGATGCCTCTCAGTACAAGAACTCTGTCTAAAGTATAGAGAGAAGGGGATATGTCAGGGCTGAGAGATCTGACCTGGCAGCTATAGAATGTGCTAGATGTGGTGGTAGCGATGCCAGTGAGCCCTGCCTGATAACAGTGCCTGTGCTGCCGTGGGAGGAGGAGGGTGAAGCTCTGTAGTACCTGTTAGAGTTGATTGTGCAATAAAGCACAGTCTCCTTTTTATATTCCGGACAAAGAAAGACTGATGAAATTGGTGAAGAAAAGGAAACGAAAAGTGCTCAGGCTAGGAGCCTAAGCATGTGGCTTGGTGCAGACAATAAATGACAGAATTTCCTTCTTCTACCGGCAGGAACAACTGACATGAAGGATTTTTGCTAAGGACCATGTATGGAGCCAGACACAGACTCACGTTAATTGTGGGGATTTTTTTTTTTTTTTCCTCCATATAGCTGTCTAAATTAAAAACCAAAATAGTCAAAAAGCTCATCCTTTAACCTGGCTTTTCATTTTTACTTGAAAGGTGTTTCCTTTCTGTAGCACTGTTTACTCTTGATATATTCCAAAATTAAACACAACGGCACTTGTATAATTACTTTGTATATCCATCGTGTTGGTTAGTCAGTGATTCTGAATACCTCTCTTTTCCTGTACTTCCTATTACAGGTAACATAGAATACAGCTGCCCAGCAACGAATGAATGTGAAATCACAAAGCGCAGACGCAAGTCCTGCCAAGCCTGCCGCTTCATGAAGTGTCTAAAAGTTGGCATGCTGAAAGAAGGTAAGACTGGTCAAGTCAATATGTATCTCTCTGCAAACGCATGCAACAGTTGTTGAAAGAAGAGAGTTCGGTGAGTGTTCTGATCAGTTACTGTAAAGGCAATTTTGATGTATACTTGTTCTTCCTGACAGTCTCGTTCCAAGCTGTGGAATCACAGTGTATTCTCTTCTCTGGAATATTTCTAACTGTGTAGTACAGCAAAATGTACCCCAGCATTTAGTCTTCTTCAGTAGGTAACTGATAGAATAATCATCAGAATCCGTCATCTCATTTTCTTTGATCCTAAATGTTGAGTATGTCTACTGAAGTTACTGTAACTACACTGGAGCAAATAGTGGCCTACAGAAGAGAAGAATCCACCCTTGTTTTGTTTTGTTGTTTTTTTTTTAAAGCATGTGAGAACCTCTGCCTCTCACTGTAAGTATATGTTGAGTGTTTTAATTCATCAGTTACATTTTGAAGATGTTGAATAACAGCTAAATATAAGAAGATGTTTCCAGGAAACCAATCAATCTCACCTGGAACCTGATTTGACTGTGTTACAAAAAGTGGCAATTCCTTAAGTCTTGGTTGCTGACTATGCAATTCTGTTGCTGTTGATGTATATGCAAAAATACATCATTTTATGTACATGTATTTTATACATTATTATTGTAGCGCACTGTTACCACCAAGAAAGAATAACAGAAGATGTCATGGAGTTCTTGAGTTAGATAACGTTTTAAAATAAAATAAACATAATGTTTTCTAAATATTGTCTCCTGTGGAGAGTACTTTGTGTTAAGCAACCACTTTAAAATAGTCCTATGCAATTTTGCTTTGTCAGTGCTTAAAAAGGCGGCTTTAATAGATGGCTGATTTTTGCAAATCATTTGATGGTGATTTAAAACAGGTTTAAGTATACAGCTCTTGGGGTAAAATCCAAGAACAACATAGACCAGTGGAGAGATGATGAACAGATTAGGCCTATCACGCACCTACAGACATATTCTTATTGGATTATACTTACTAAGAATAAACCTTGTTCTGTGCAACTGCTTTGGCAGATGCTATGATCCTGTGAGCCAAATCCTGCTGTCCTTAGTCTTACTTGAGCAAAACTCCTGTCAGATTCAATGGGGATTTTGCCTCAGCGGGAATGGCAGGATTTGACCCCTTCTTCCAGTGGTGATGGGAGGGTTCTTTACTTGCCAAAAATCTTCGTATCATTGACCACGAGGAACAGTTACTTAAAGGTTAAATTGTGATGCTTAGATAAACTGTAGATAGAAAAGAATGTCTGAGTATGGCACCTTTTGAAAGGGACTGTGCTTCTTAACATCTTTTTTTTAGTAAGTTAAGACCCCGTATCACTGGTAACCTAATATACAGATATATTGAGCAACTTGTTTGGAAATGAAACAGTGCTACCAAGAGTGCATACAGGTGAATTGGTTTAAACCTTTTCTTTTAGATTTTGAGGGCACCATTGCACATCTGTTAACATCTATATTTAAAAATCTAGTCTGTGTGCGTTTTGGGACTTCATGAGGAACTTAAGCGACTCTTCTGCAAATGAGCAATTATCACAGTTACAAAAATTGTGCGCAGATTTACTATGTTTCTGTGTATCATTTTGGTAACTGGGATAATTTAGTTAGACAATTAAGATGCACATTGTGAATCAGGTTTTTTGCATGAATGATCGTTGTCCATGGATGTAAATCAATCTTGCAAGTTTTTGTAATTAGAATTTCATAAATTATGTATCTTAAAAGTACATACCTTTTTGTGGAAGTTCTACAATGACAAAATAACTTAATTCCTTCGAATAGAAGATTCCTTTGTTAGCCCCACTCCTGGGCACATCATAGTTCTTCCACACTTATTGTGTGAGTATTTCTGTCAAAACACAGTAAGATTTCTACTTATTTTTAGTTACTGAGCCTTTTCATCTAAGGCAGAGTTAGCTTACCTTCTTTTCAGGTGTTGCTTATCTACCACCTAACAGGACAACCTAAAAGAGCCTATAAGGGCATTTTGTTTTCTTTCCAACTTCAGTGGCCACTTTTACTTTTACAACTATACTGATTCATTGTACACTATTAGGACTGTATTTGGAATAGGGAGGGTTTTTTCTTTTCTTCTTGTTGGAAGGTAGTTTTGGAGACGGGTGGTGTTGTTTTTAACCTATGTGAAAGTCTGGAGATGAGTTTTTGGCTTTGACCACATCCTTCATGCACAGAATGAAGAAAGATGATATACTTCTCTCATGGGTAAAATGGTGTAAATTTATTGATTAGCATGGACTTAAACACTGAGCTGAAATAATCTCTGCTGTATCTTAAATATTTCTTTATGTACAGACAAGTATTTCAGTCCCATGCAGCATGTCAGAGATCATGCTGCAGTAAATCTATTCAAATGTAAACCTGTTCAATTCAATTACCAGTTTATAATAAAATTTGCTGCTGCAGCCTCCACGTTTGTCACAGCAGTCTCTACATGCTGATGGCACAGCATGCCTGGAAATTGACAGCCTAAATCTATTTACAAAAAAAATTTAGTTGCAGACCTGAAATAAAATCAAGTTTAAGCAGCTTTGAGAGGAGCATCATATTCCTTACAAGATCTTCTGCACATCTGCCGGTGTGAGTCTTCTCCAGAAATTTTACACTGTTAGTGGGGAGTTTTCTTCCAGAAATTTTCCTTAACAAACAGTTTTTAAATGTAATCTTAAGTGAAACAATTATTAGACATTGCATTTCCCTTCACATTTGGAAGGACTTTATTACATTGTCATTTTGTGAATTGTCATATAAAATTCCAGTGCCTGGAAAAAGATCCTAAGTTTTATTTTAGCTTTTAGGGTGACCTCCAAAAACCACTTAGAGCAAATATATGGAGTGGCTTCTCTTATGACAGCTGCATGTTAAATCATTTATTGTGGGAAGATAATGATGCCTTTCATCCAGCATCCAGAGACCTAGTGCTAGGATTTTGGGGCTATGCCTTGGGGTCAACCCCTGGGAGGGAATTGACTTTCTGGTCACATGTAATACAGGATGGAGTGGGGAATTTCTGTACATTTTCTCAAGGGTGTCAATGGGTCATAGCCAGCAACACCTAGATCGAGATTCTTAATGATTTGTAAGTCATGAGCCAGAAGCTAGAGAAGGAAGGGTAAAGCAGTGTCATACTGGGCCAAGCTGGAGTGGAATGGGAGTCCTGGCTCCTGTCTGCATCTCCTGTTCCACAAGAAGTTACTACAGACTGATCCAGAGGAACACTTCATTTGGGTTTAGCCCATGAACTGTTACTTGAAAACATAAGTCTAGGTGTATGGACATTTTTTTGAGTATGTTATGCTTTATACTGAAGCATTCAGCAGATGCTGATGAGCTTTTAAGCCAGACAAATATGGGGGTGTCATATTTTCATTTACTTTCCTAGTTAATGGTTATTAGCAGCACAGCAGAATGAGCTTTACTTAAAGAAGAAATTTTACATTTTTCTGTTTTTAATTTTGTGTGCCAGTATTATGAAAATTCAGATTTTCAAGGATCACATTTGATTCTTCTCCTGAAATACAGTTCCTTTGACTGTGCCTGTGTTTTGGTGGATTCTCTCAGGTTCTCAAGAACAGATGAACAACATAAATATTCTTGGATACTCTAGGGAGAAACTTTTCAAATGTATCCTTAGCGATTTCTTTAGATAATATTGCAATTGCTAAAGGGGCGGGGGGGTGTGTGGACAGGACAGCAATTTGCCCTTTTAAAAAATTAACATTTTAAGACATTCCCTAGTTTTCAGTTCTGTTGGTTTATAATCAATCTTCTAAGTTTGGCCTTTCAAACCCTTTGGAAGCCGGTGATTAGTTTGCTTCAGGTCGTAGAATTAAATCTGTGTTTGTGTGCGAGATCAGGTGTTTTAGCTGTTTTCCTTTTTATGACGCTAGTTGGAGTGAGAAAAGGGGGTTGATTTTTTTCTTTTCTAAGAAGAAAAATTGGGTAGGTATTTGACTTTTTTTGTTATTGCTAGTTAATCTGGTTGAATTCTACTTTTAGTCTTCCATTAGTACTATATGCCTTTTAATACTGTCTGTGGGACTACTTACTAGCATATGTCTGTGATAGACGATATTATTCCAAGTTTATTGTACTGCAGATCTTGCTCAGAATAGCTGTCCATGTGAAATAATTCCACTGGAGTAATTCTTCCAAAATAAAATTACTTTTTGTTTCAGATGCAGCATTCATATAGTTGTTTTTTCAAGAGGTTGTTCCATATGTTTCAATTTTTTCCACGGAGTCAAAGCTATAGCCTCAGTTTTATCTGTCCCTGTATTGTAGCAAGGTTAAAAATTACAGTTCAGATGGGAACCTACTGAGTGGCACTGACGTAGCTGTAGACCGTCTGAAATATTGTATCCTCTCTTAGCTCTCACAGTTCTGAGCAGTGCTAGGTCATACTTCTTAAAGGTCTGTTGGCACCATAACATCTCCCATATATCTCGTCTCTGATATCTGGATGTTTTCAGAATTTCTTAATCGGTCATTTGCAGTGGCTGATCTGCATTGCGTGTTATTTCAGAAAGTGTAGTTCATAAGTGGGTGAAACATAAAGAAACAAATTTATTTGAAAAGTAAATTATACCATGATGAAGTGGCAGAAAATTTGGGTTGCTTCACATAACCATATTTGTGTTTTCCTTGTGAATGGATGGCCTTTACAAATTATCATCAGTCACTTTGTACCCAGCTAGAATAGACAGAGTGACAGAATTCCAGCTTAATTAGTCCAACTAGTAAAATGGGAGGCTGGATCCTCACCTAGTATTAATGCAAGCTGGTGGAGCTATCTTAGATTGCTGTTCATTTGGCAGGTTTAGCAATCTGTGCTGTGGGGAAGTCAGCGATACACCTTTTCGTGCCTGTGAATCTTTACTGGTGCTAGTATGTTAGCCATCAGCTCTCCAAGCTCATCATCTGGCAATGCTGACTTCAGTGTAACCCTTC